CAGAATCATTTTCTTGCTCTAAATCTCATGAGTCAAAGAAAGGAATTTATTCAAAGCCTGTGTCTAAGATAATCACGTATGTGATATTTAGTTTCCAGAAGTAAACAAGTTGTTTGTGTTTTGAAAGATGATAACATTTTCCTCCTGTGAAGCTGTGAGAGGAATTCACTGAATATTCACAATGAATTTTGGGAATGACCATTAAGTTTTAGCAGTCCTATGAAAAGTACAGATAACAGAAAACCCATACTATAAAGAACTTGTGCATCTAAAGCAGAGATCTATCACTTCTTCCTTCACTCTATGTGGGTTTAGTATTTAGGCCAAACTTGTCAAACCAAATGGTTTTAACAATTAATGGTTTTTAAATTCTGATACACCATCACTCCAGATTCAGCCCATAACTGTTAAGTTCATAGGTCAAAGCTAATGATTTGTCTTCCAAGTAAGAGATACCTGAGACACTAGGGAAAGGGACAAAGGCGGAACTTATCTCCCAGTTCTGCCTCACTATTGCTCTTCTAAAGTCTTGAGCAGATAGGGAAATCTGCCACCTTCTAACCTCAGCAAGAATCTCAGTGTTGTTACTGACCATGTTATCTACAACACTCATGGCTCTTGCCAAAGCCTTGTATTAAAAGACAACATGGCAATAGCTTAGATTAATTTTGTATTATGCAACATAGCATTTTATCTTCTTGAATCATTTTTAAATGTGATGCTCTTTAATTTTCCTGAGTTGTCATTGGTAAAGGCATGTAAGTCAGTTCATTTTGCTTCCCCGTCTCGTTTTAGACCCTTTTAATACATCACATTTATAATGTCACAGTTCTGTTGTGGCAGTGGTTACTCCAGCTTCATGCTGGGGTAGTACAAATCAGGTACCAATCTTTTTTCATCCTCTTGTTTTTCCTCAGGCTGGATGTCTTCCACTCCCCTCTTTGAACATTCCACAAACTATCTTTTGCCCATTCTGTGTGTTGAAAGTAGCCCAAAACCAAGGGATCAGAGAAACTCATCAGTTTAATTGTATATGTTCATCCCTGGGCACCAGGCTGATACATACATAAAGATGTATGCTGAAGCTTTTTTACTCACTACTTGCAGCTAATTTTGAACTAACCACTGATTCAAAGTTTCCTTTCTCATACTTCACCTTTGTGCCCAAATTACTAAGCTGGATCAGCAGTTCCTACCTGACCTTTATCATTCCCGGTTTTGAACAATTGTTGTAATTGTGCATTTTCTTGTACCACCAGAAAAGATAAAGACATAAAACACTTCTTATCTCTCTCACAGGTTAATTATTACACTGCACAGCCCAATCAGTGCAACACTGTAAGGTAAAACGAGATAAGAAATCCTCCCAGATTTCCAGCCAACAGTTCATACCCACATACCTGCTCTGCTAATCTCTGCTTCAACCATCTGCTTTCCACGTGAAATATTTCTCTAACAGAAAGAATCTGGCTATTCCTACATATTCAGCTACACTATCTCACAGCCACCCAAGTAATTTCCATTTTATGAGAACTGGTAAGATGTTTTTTGTAGCTGTATAGGAACATAAGATTTTGACACCTAACTTGTCCTATATGATTCTTAAGGATGCAGGAATGTAGTAAAATGTTTATTTCCATAGAATTCTAATAAGGTTTGGCTTTGTCATGCAGAAATCAATTACCTATCACAAGCAAAATGAGATAAATCTATTTTCCTTGCCTCCACAAGGAGAAGCGCAATAGGCTAGCTTTCTCTTCACCTCCTGTATCATCACAGTGGGATGATCTTACCTGAGGATAAGGAGAACAGCCAACTGACAGTGGCCAGGAAGGAGCAGAATGTCACATAGCTCAGGAACGAATACTGAGCTCCTCAGCTCCAGCACCACACTGTCTCCTCCAGGGGCCACAGTGTGATTCCTTTTGTGAGGAAAGTTGATGCTCTTGGAGGGACGCAAGATCAAGCCTGGGAGCACTGCATCAGACACAGCCACAGAGGAACAGTTGTGCTACTTGAGCTCTCTACTGAGAACAAGTCAGTTCTGTTAGTGCTAAAATTGCCATTATGGAAACATCCTGCACTTGAGTGGAAGGATGCAAACATCTGATTTAAAGATACTCATGAGAGAGTACTGGATACTTTGACTGCCAGAAACCTGCGTGCTCGTTTGCAAAAAGTTAACTACCCTTCTTGTTTTTTTGCTTTAGTAACCAATTTGTTTCATTACAGAGTAAAGGAGAAGACCAAGATAGAAATGCATGACACAATCTTGTTACTTTACGTGATGTAAATCAAGTATAGGAGTTTTGTTTAAAATAGGAAAAGAACTAGAGGTAGCAGTTTTATACAACTGACAGGGGTAATTTTCATTAGGATAAAATAACCCTCCACTCACCCCTTGTGTTTGCCAAACTGATCAAACTGACAAAAGGCTATCTCAAAAGATTGTTGTTGGTTTTCGGTTTTCCCTCCTCCATTTTCTCTGTTTTAATGCTAACCAACAATGTTGGTTAAATAGACTATCAAAATCTGGGACTTAGTAACATCACTTGGTGTGCAGTCCACAGTTGCACATTTAACACTACTTAAACACTGACTGATTGAAATTCTGACTGAAAGCTGATGCCAAACACTCATGGATTTCCTCTTCCTCAAAATATAGAAATATTTGCTTGCTATGGCAAAGTGGTTTCCCTTTGCTCCCCATTTGTCTACAGTGCAGATTTGGAATATGTATCAAAAAATACAGGGTGGAGTTTTTTGCTGTTAAGTCTGAGCCAGTCCATGGAGCATACACAGCTTCCTTCAGATGACCTTGTGCTGTCATTGACAACATTAAGCTCACCCTCACACAGGAATGTGCTGGAATGCAGTTTCTGTATTTCCTGAGTAAAATAATTATCCAAATGAAAGGAAGACAAGTTACAGTCTTCTTGAATATAGCTAAATCTCTCCTACCACTGCTGCAGGAGAAAATCAAAAACATTACTTGAGTTTCTTTACAGCTTTGTAATGGAACAATTGATAGAAAATCAACATGACATTTCTAAGGAAAATTCATTTCTCTTACCCTTTCTTCCCCTCAGATGATCTTCATCCCAAACCTTCCATCCTATTTACGAATTAAAAAAGAGTACTGCTCTTCAAGACCCAAGTGCAGCAGCATGGTAGTTTTCACATCCTTTTTATGACATCCATAAACCACAAAGAGTAGGAATGTGAAGTATTTGAAAGAACTACAGCCCACTTTTTTTTTTTTTTTTTTTTTTTTTTTTTTGCTAGTGTGCACACATGCACTCTGTATACCAATGCAGTATTTCTTATATAGAACTGGATTTAGTGTATACATCAGCTACGTCTTTCATCTCCCCTCCCATGAATATAAACATCTTTCAAAGAAAAACAAGTAACTTCATTGCAGGAAAAAATTACAGCATGTTGAAAATTGTCATGTAAAAGCAGAATCATATCCCATATTTGTTGGCCACTAGCTGCCTCAAGTGTTGTACAGCAAGGAAGGTGGGAGCCACTTGTCAAGACACTGAAGACACCCAAAATTAATTGAAGGTTTTCAAGTCTTCCAAAAACCACCAGAAAAAATGAAGCACAGCTCACATTCAGAATAGAATTAAATGCCCTTCTTCTGTTTCTTACTAATACAGATGTGCATGTGTATTAATATACAAATAAACTCATTTGTAGACCCACATGAATTAAAGGGGAAAAAATAACAGCCTGGAGATAACAGGGTTATAATTTTGCTTACGTGTAGATATGTAACAGTATTTTAACCCTGTCTCTGCTGTAACAGATCAGGCTACCTATAGCAAATGCTGAGCTCTTACCTTGCCATAGACTGAGTAAGCAATTGGTTACATGAAAAGTAGTACCTTTCAAGAATATCAAAAAGATTAACACAATATTATTAAAAACTCGGACCTTCATGTGAACTGGGGAGTAAGAAAAAAAAATGGTGGCACATTTATTAATTTCCCTAAACTATGAATATATGATAACCATCTCCAGAATCTGTTTCTACAGATGGTAAATAAACGGTCTTGATTTTAAGGCTCCTTTATTTTTAATAGTTGAGCTATTCAGAGGAAGTAAAAAAATAGAATATTAAGGTCTATGGCAAGTGTCCAAGACTCAAGCACCTCTGAAAACCTTTATGGAAGTGACCTATGTCTGCTACACTGCTTATTGTGGCTATTTCTTGGTTGCTGGTTTTGCCCACATAATATTTTATTTCATTTTCTTCCAATTACCTTACTGCACAGCTATGAAGTGCCTATTTGGGAAAGCAAGAAACCCAAGAAAGCAATGCAAGGGCTATGCATTACACAGCTCTGCCATTCCACACAGGGACTTCAACACACTTACCCTAGGAAATGATTTGGCACAGTTATACTCTCCTCTCAGACACATTTGTGGCAGTGTTCCTCTCAAATAATTGCCATCAGCCATCTACTTCTTCTAACGCAGCTTCCTGTATTACAAATCGTAACCACAGCACTAGATGATATTGCAGCTTAGAAGAAAGTACATTTGAACAGAACAGGTACTTCTACAGTTTGGGTGGATCAGACCTATCTAGAAGTTTGGTAATAAAACTGATAGCGCGGGAAATTCTTCCTCATGCAAATGAATTGTGTTCAGAGAGAGTATTTCAGAAACAACCATCCCATCTCTTGTATCACTGCTTTTTTGTTTTGCTTCCTAAGAAACAAATATAACATGTACAACACAGGAAAATTCACACAAAAACTGACCTAAAGAACTCTGGTTAAGCATTTACTCTCTTCTAATTAATTCAACAGTCCCAAAGGAAATACATCTAAGTTCTACAGAAATAATGTTTGACTTCAAATACATGTCATGCATCACTGCATATACTGAGAACTGTATCTTCACAGTTATTCACATATACACACATACATGCACAGGGTACTTCAAAATAGCATCCATGTGAATAAAAAGATACTTCCAACAACAGATTTTCTCTATTAAATTCATGTTTATTGCTTAAGTTTTATCACAGTGGAGATTAAATTATGCTTAATCGTCCGGTCAGTGCTTTTGTACCTTCTTCAATGCAAAAAAAAAACATTTAAACCAAGTCATTCATACACTCGAAGTCTTACTACCATCCCACCATTCATCGCCTCCTTGTGTTCCTCTAGTTGACACAAACTGTAAGATTGTAAAAAGGTCTAGATAATAGGCTTATTTATAACACCATTTTCTTCAAGTATTCAGAATGCAGTACAAGTAACTGTACCACGTATTAGAAAGATATCTGTACTGTTATTTATTGCTATAGGATAGAGGCTCCTGATGGAATGGTAATGAAATATTGCATCACTGTGTATGAGGATGATCTCAGCACTTTGTTATCGTCACAACTCTTCCCATGTTAGTGAACAACACTAAGTAAAATGGATTTCCTTCCTTCCTCTTCCAGGCATGGGATTTCAAACTACAAATAAATAAAGCATACACTCACAACGTGTGTAGTGCAAATTCCAAGTAAACAGAATGACATGGAAATAAATGCATAGTTGCCAACTCTGGTTTGGCAGGGCCACGCTGATTTTGCCGCTAGGTGCCCTGCCTCCCTGCCCTGGGTTTGTACTGCACCACCACAGGGTTCCCATGTCAGCTGCAGTGATTGAAAGAGATTGTTGCGGGGAGGGTCCGGAGCTGGGGACAGGAGGCACAGCTGCCCCACATTTTGCACCGGCCCGGCTGCGCTCCGTGTCGTGCCTCCCGCTGAGCCTTAAGCCGGAGGTTGGTGCCTCCCAGCAGGCAGCCTCCTGCCCCCTGGTCTCAGAAGGGACATTGGCAACTATGGGAAATACGGATTGCGCGGCCCAGACTAAGAGAAGGTAATAGTTTCTCAGATACAACCATTGAAAGAGAACGTCTACAACATTGTGAATTAGAAAAACAAAAAAAAGACCAAAAACACAGAAAAATAATGAGAATTAATAGGAAAGACATTCAACTTTTAGCATTTTCTTGTTTGTTTCCTAAATCCCAAATAGCAGTTCGATTCTGCACTGCTTCGGGCCACTACAAAACCTTCTGCATTAAGCACAGGGGTGGATATTTTTTTTGCTTTGTTTCATTTATTTTAATTATGCAAATCTACTTCCCACACAGCCATATTTAAACTGAAATAGAATTCCCTAACATTTTCATGGCATAAATTACATATGTAGAGAAAGGCAACAAATACAATTTTGTATAAATTAAGAATTAAGACTTATTGTAGACTTGCTCAGTACTCTTTTCTCTAAAGCACTGGTAGTGAGCAGAAGAGTCATGCAGCTTACCAGAAAACACAGTATACATTTTTGCCATTTTTCTTCAGTGCTTATTTTAAGATTTTTTTTTTTTTTTAATGTCTGTGTTCTCAGTTTGCAACTTCCTACTTCTTGCACAAGCATCGGGAATTTTTTTTTTTAAACAGCATTCTTATACATATTGAGCCTTCAACATATGAAACACAGAGCTAGCACTAAGTTCTCTCATCTAAAGATGGATATAATAATAAAAAAAATAAAAGGGAAAAAAACCTCTGCAAATAAAAAGAGACCTTTCCTCATTTGGGACACACACATTTAGCTTTTAAAAAACTGAAAATTCATAAATATGATCATAATATAACTTTAGAGGATTAAGGCTTCTAAAAACTTCAGTGCCAAAATAGCCTTTCTGCATCAGTATTAAGAATAAAATATTTCCATTTTAGGTTGTGCTTTTTTTTTTTTCTTTTTTTTTTTTTAAATACGTTCCTTAGTTCCATAGAATTTTGTCACATATTATTACATACTGAAGGGGAGTGTTAGAACTGCTTATTGATGTTTTAAGTACTTGTTAGACTAAGTTACAGCGATAAAACTCAATTACTTTACATGAGGGGTTGGCTCATTTCACCTTTTATTCATGCTTAATGTGGCCATTTCTTCTATGCTTGCCATTTGGTATCCCATTTTGGTAATGTCCATTAACAGTGCTATGTTCATCATTTGACCAAATATGTTTGCTTTGTTTGCGGATAAATTTTGTTAGCTTGGCCAAAATATAATAAAATAAGGCAGCACCCACTAATACAACAAAGGCAATATCCAGTAAGAAATACTGATATAGAGAGATGCTGTAAACAGCGGCACGTAGATGTTGCGCTCCATTGTGACGGAGGATGTAGTTAATCCAGTACACAGTCCGGTTAACAGGATGACCAGGTTGGTCTTTGTGAATTTCAGACAGCCTCTGAGCCCGCTGCCTGTAGCTGTATGAAAGAGATGAAGAAAATGGAATAAGGTAAAAACCATAGCCAGTGCTGAGCAATGCAAGTCTTTGTAAACATATAAATGCACATAAGAGATCAAAAGCTGTCCTTCTACTGCAGGACTCTCCCATTAAACCTCATACAAAGAAATATACACAAGGCATGCTCTCTTTACATCTGTCATTACAGCTCATTGACAAAGAATTACCAAAAGTACAAAACCATGGGTGACTGAAGGCTGAAATCCACCCTTCAACAGCAGGCCTGTAGAAGGGACAAAGTGTCTAGTGTCTATTCCACCTGCTCTCAGGCAGGAATCCTATCTAATCCCAGGTGAATGGATTTGCCCTTCCCACTCAAAGTGGCAACATACTCCAACAGGCCACTATAGTGCAACTAAGTTATTAGAGAATCATGACAAACTGAGAAACTCAGTTTTATAATTCCTCTTCGGTGCAGAGTTCAGCCTAAAACTGATTTTTCATAACGGGCTACCCCGAGCAGAGGATCACATTAAACTCCTTCCCATACCACAGCTGCAGGGTCAACAGGTTGAGCAGAACTTGCCTTTATACTAGGGATAATTATATAAGAGAAAGCTGGGGCAACTGATGCTACTGAGATTTCTTTAGCAATACTCCTCTTTACCGAGCTTCTGCTGCTAATGAGCTCATTTCTTACAGATTTCTCCTTTTCCAAGGCAAGTGCTACTTAAAGACTTTGTTTCCATGAAAGCAAGAAATATTGTCATCATTGTACTTCAAAACATCTATTAACTTCATACAAAAAGAACTGAGCTGAGTCATTCTTTTTAACCCAGAGGTTGTCTGCACATCCCAAGTGTTTAAACTGACTCTCCTCACATTTCGGTATTTCTAGTAAATTCATTTGATGAAACTAAAAAAAGTTACGAAACCCAGTTCATGAACTTGTACTGTACTGCATATGAATGACAAAAAAATAATTATAGGAAGAGGCCAGAGCCTCATATACTGCTTGTTGCAAGTTCCAATCAATGTGAATATCCTTTCCAACTCTAAGATCTATGTTAGAGATACCTTCTTTCTGTCCAGAAAGAATTTTTTTTTTTTTTTTTTTTTTTAATAAGTCACTTTTTGAGTACCGCCATATTTTCAGCTACAAGCCAAATGCAGCACCCTGAAACAGTACAGGTACAGTTTTCTCAGGCCTCCTTATGGAGTGTAACAGACAGATTGCTAAATATGTTACTGTACTGTAATCAAGACACAAAAAAAGAGATGCTGGCCTGAAACAAAAAGTCAGTCAGTCTAGGTTTGTTTCTGTAACCTTGTTGTTCTACCCATGGCAAACGTCACAGCCACAGAAAAGCAAATGAGATGTGAGCTTTGGTATGCTGATCAACAAGCTTGGCATCTATACAGAAATATCATAGTTGAGTAATCCTGTGAAATGGGAACAACTATCCAAAGTCTTGCCACTGCCATGCACACAAATAAACACCAACACACATTTTTTCCCTTGTGCGAAGGCTCTGTATCTAACCCACAACAATAAATTTAAATAAAAGCAAGAAATAATCACTCATTCCATACCTGGGATCATTAATAACTTTTTCTAGTGCTTCATATAATTCATTCTCAGTGACGGTCTTCCAGTTCAACAATATTCCCATGCCTTTGGCCTGCACTCGGGTCATAGTATCGTAATGGTCTCCGAAAAGGGGAATTCCCACCACTGGAACCCCATGATACATGGTTTCAAAAATGCTGTTCAAACCGCCATGACTAAGAAAAGCTTTAATGTTAGGGTGACCTGGAAATACAAAAGTATGAACACACACACATACAAAAAATTACATCTCCTTGATGTAGCATTATTGAAGCAACTCGTTACAATACATTTATCATTGAATCATAGAATCATAGAATCACAAGGTTGGAAAGGACCTACAAGATTATCTAATCCAACTGCCAATTGGATTCCTGTAACTCCAGTTTGGGAAGGCAGAATGAATGCAATTTTTTTCTGAAGTTTCCACCTACTTAAACCCACTCTGCAGAAACTTTGAATGCATTGGGTTATTTCATTATATATGAACAGAGATGAAACAGCCAATATGAATTAAAATTATCATGTCTGAGTTGTCTAAAATTACAAACGTCATTCCAAAAGTAATGCTTCCTTATTTCCATGAAAACTACAACAGATGCAAAGAGCAGAACAACACTTGATACAGCAAATTCTCAGCTACAAAACACTATTCTTCAATAGTGTCACCACCATTAGCTGATTTGTGTCAATGAGCTGTTTGAGATGCTTTTCATTTCATGATGAGACAACTGTGTATGGCTGTACTGAATATGGCTTGTCTTTTCATGTCATTGCTTCCCACTGCTGAAATGCATTTCCCACAGCCTCACTTGCTAACAGCCATTGTTCAGCCTCCAAAAATGTTCAGCAACTGTCGATGAATATAAATAGGTGCCATTTTGTCTGCAGGGAGGACTTGAATTCCGCATCTCTACTACATATACACTGCCACATCAGACACTGTCCGCTAAGATTGCCCCTCTGCTCCCATCTGTTGCATGGCAACAAAACACAGCAGAATATTGGTCAGAAGGTTCAACCTCTACTGCCACAGCACAACATCTGCCTCTGACATTGTGGGCCAACATCAAAGAACAGGAGGCATTACTTTCAGAGCAGTCCTCTTATTAATGGAGTAATTAATACACTATCTACTCCTGAGTAACTGCAGTTGGTGACTAGAACTGGTATTTACCTGTTTAATATTACAAACGAATGACAGAATGCTTTTCCTTATTATTCATATGAAAGACAAGCTATTTAATGACAGGACAACTGATGTTGCATTCTCTGAAGCTTTACATGCCTTACTTCAGGCTAGCAAGATATGACAATAATGACAGCAATATACTCCCCTATTGCTATGCAATGGAGAAATGAGAGTGCCTCAGAGCAATTTAGTAACCAAAAATAACTACCTGGTTCAGAAGTCATTTGCCTAATAACTACATTGCAATAACTACTCTAGTTGACATGAATGTACACTGACGCACACACATTCTTAATGTATTATTCAGTGCTCATCATAGTACCAGATACTGTGCAAATGCACAAATGTCTAGGTCCCAGAGACAGTCATAAGCATTCTGCAGACCCTAGGATCCAATGAATTCAGCTACACTTCCACACAGGAGGAAAGAAAGGAAAAAGCAAAAACATATACTCTAATATATAACTTTACCAAAAGATAAAGGAAGACCAAGCTTATCGCTCCATTCAAGAACTCAGAGCATCTCAGGATAGTTAAACACAAAGATTATTATCAACTTGCAACACATCCCTAATTTCTGTTAAGGATTTCATTGGCAAAATTAAAAAATACATATATCAGTAATATTAATAATAAACATGTAATCAGTATGTTCAGTGCCTAAAGACTCTGTGTAATATGAACAAATTTTCTACGCATGGCTTGAAGATTCTTCCATGAATAGTCTACTTTAGTCCATACCACAGCTTCTTCACTACTGAGAAGTTAACAGTTCACATTCGGTGAAACAGCAAATTCTAGAAAATTCCCATTCATCTTCCATAATTATTATTTTTTTTATTTTGAACTGCATACATTGCATAGCATACGAGAGTTTTCACAACAAACATTTCCATTTATTAAGTCAAACAGACTTGGGAATGACTATGGCCTTCCATGCAACTGACTGAAGAAAACAATGGAGTTAACACCAGATAAAGAGCATTAACATAAGAAAGAATGTTTGATTTAATCATCGAGACATTGTGAAGAATGCTATATTCTTGCTCTATGACTTTTTTTTTTACTATGATTGCTATTTGAATTAAATATTGTTGGAAGAGCAAACTGAATTTCAGTGAGAATAAACAATGTATCGTAATTATACTCACCAAGAAGGTCATTTTGTGGTAACCATTCTATAAGCTTTGTATTGTTGCCTAGATTCCTTGGTTTGTTTCCTGAAAACCTGAAGCGATAAAATCAAATTGAAGCTACATTATCAAAACCTCCAAAATGTGCAAACTCTAAACAGAGAATTAAACCCAGTGATCTAGCTTTCTAATTACACTGGGATACCGTTTACTCACCATTACAAGAAAAGAAATGCTATAAAAGTAATCAGGTATAATTTCCATTTTTTTCATCATTCATTTCCTTATAATCTGGCTCAAAATGCAGTGTTTTCTATTTAAATAATGGCAATACAGCTACTTTAAAAAGCATATTCTAAGTCGTACCACTGTGACTGGAAGAAAGTTTTATAATCCTTCTGTGACTCTGAGTTTGCTGCTTTACTGAAAACTCTGATTAATACTACTCGAGTAACTCCACTGATAACAGCGCATCAGCACATAAAAAGTAAACCCTACTACCAACATAAGGCATTTCCATTCACTTGGCCACTTTCCAACAGCTCTTAAGAACTGACAGCATCTCATTTTAAAAGGAATTACTAGTACAAGGAAGGGAAAGGGTGACAGTCCAGAATACGAGGCAAGAAGCTACTGATGGAAAGGTTGGGATCAAAGTGTAGAACAGCTGCATTTGGTTACTTAATCGACTGCCCAAAATCTAGTGACAATGTCTTGCTCACTTGAGTGAGTTTGTTGAGAAAGTTTAATTAACAGAATACAACCTTTAAATACAAACTGATTTGTGTGTCACATACTGCTTATATGCAAATTAAATATATTCCAAACTGAAAAAGAAGAGGGAAAAAAGTAACAGTGACTAGAGATTTTTTATTTTTTTCTTTTCCTAACAGCTCCAGAAAAGAGCTGTCAGAAAAAAAGAAGTATTCTGGTTATTAAAGAACATTAGAACTGTAACTACATAAAGAACCATCTAGATATTCCCAATTAAGTAAAGCAATAAGCCTGCATATTCCATATGTTGAAAAATAAACTAAACAAATTTCTTGACCTGATATAAAAGCAAGTCAACCATAAATCTCATACTGGTTTTGGTGCTAAACAGTACCACATAACCAGAAGAAAATTAAGAACTATAGGGATTTCCTTGATTTGGCATTCTGACATAAGACTGTCAAGCAGTACTATCATTCCCATTCTCAGAAAAGCGTAGCACAAAAACTGCCTGCTTCCAACACAGATCAGAAATCAATAATCTGAAAAGCAGATAATGACAAAGTGAAACTGGACTCAATTTCATATTTAGGTGTCTTGTTATGGAACTCAAATTCTCATTGATGTGACTGAAAGCCACTTGCTCAGCTCTCCCAGAGCTGAATATCTGAATATCTTCCCTTCCCAGGAATTATGATGGAAAGAAATAGGAGTTAGGTCCCTGTTGAGGGACTTTTTAGATAAAGCACTAAAAATAGAACAAAACAAGAAACAACAACAAAAACAACACTGGTAAGAACAGCACTAGTGAAATAAAAAATAAATAACAGAAAGCTTTGATTGAAATTGTTATTTTTGCATTCAAAAAAATCCCCCCAAAATATTTAAATGGATTCCTTATTTACTAGAGAAAGTGGATACCTCCTACTGTAAAAATCCAGCAAAAACATGATAAAAGTGTAGCTCAATACAAAAGGCAGTAAGATCAACTGAGATGAATTACAAGCCAAGCACTGCTGCAGACTTCACAAGGAACAAAGAGCAGTGGTTCATATTAATACTTCTAAACTATGCTCCAACATGATGAAGCACGTAAAGCACAGCAGAATAACACCAGTTGTTCCTCAATTTTTATATTACGTTTAGAGAGTGCTCACAATGTTTTTACTATAACAAAAAAATCTTATTCTTTCTTCTGCAGATTTTTTCTCCTCTGATTCCTTGAAGAAAAATACGATTAAGAGGAACAATTATCAGAGTCCATGTTTCCATAAGACAGGGGGGAAGGAAGTAGGATGTAAGAGGAAAGCTGGTGGGTGAGGGGAAAGCAAGCCTTGAATCCTTCATGGGACTAATAAGGGGATAAGGAGAATGACACATTCACTCCCTACAGTGGCTTCTTGATTAGAAGTGACACAACTAAGTCACAAATGTTACAACCTTTTACACTCTTTCCACTGTCCTCAATCCTAGGATATAAATTCAGTAGAGGAGTATATAACCTATGCTTTATCCTGCCACAAAATCATCGCTCTTCCTTATTACCAGAGGACTGTAATGCCTGTTCAAAGAGCATCTTTCAAAAGTGTGAGGTTCTCCATGCCACCCAGACTGATTTCAGATTCTGCATGGGATGCAATACTAGACATGGCCCAATAGGAAATGACTGTGCTTTCAATTACCCCAAGTACGTGTCATTGCACCTACCTCCAAATAACTCGCTGCGGCAGTCTTGCCAGAGCATGTGCTAACTTGTTTGCAACATCTTCTGACAGATATTTCACTCCAGCTCCAAACGACACAAGGACAAAGCCATTTTCATTAGCACCATTCACCCATGTTTGGAGATCCTGTTGAAGTAAAGTTTATGCCGAACACTTAGAAGCACAGGTAATCAATAGACACATTAGATAAGCATTGCTTAGCACAGGCATTTTCTAGTCCCTCATTACTTCACAGGTTAAATTTCAGCAGTCATAAACATTTTGGAAATTACTAAGTGCAAGGCTTGAAAATACATGGTATAGACTATGAACGTCAAAATTCTTCCAGGTTTGTTGTAGCTTCTGCATTAACAACTAACCTCCCAAGACAATTACTTAACCTACTAGTTGGCACGCTCACATGGCAAAAAAACAAACAAGAAAAACAACAAAAAACACTTGGTATTCTCATACAGCAAAATATAAGTAGATCTGTCTTGAAGTATCAGCCCCGAAGTAAAATACAGGAAAAAGAAATGAAGAAAGTCAGGGACTCAATTATGCCATCTCCAGCATTAAAGAAAACGATAGTACACAATAAAGGTTATTTTTATTTAATTTATATAAAAATAATAAAACAACCTGACAGAAGCCAGAGCCTTCAAAAAAGACCTCCCAGCACCAGGGTGCTGCAGCCCTCAGTCCAAAGGGAGGCAAAGCAGGCACGAGGAGGACTGCAGCAGTCTTAAGAGCATCATTCCCAAGTGTTGAGATGACATGCCAGAGTGTGCTGTGACCCACTCCTTTCAGTCAGGAGCTAAAATGGCTGTCCAGTACAATGACAGAGATTTCATGTGTAAAGAAAAAGGCACAGCCGAGCACCTCAGTAACTGTGATTACTGCTGAAATCATGGGGGAAATTTTCATTGGGACTGAAGAAATCAGCAAGCCAGAGACATGGCCTGAGCCCAGCTGGCACAGGAGACTTCAGAGCTGGTGCATTTACCCACAGCCTGAGCTCTGCTAGCTGTAACTTGCAAAGAAAAGAGGAAAGAAACACACCAATGTCCATACAGTTTTAGTATCCAGACCCACATGTGTATTGCTGAAGGTCCGCTCCTAATACACGAGTACCTGAAGATGCACTTCACAGTGCCAATGTCACCTCCACCTCCTAGCTGGCTGGTAGAGGAAGGTGGTAGCAATGCAGCTGCTCTGTGGCATGCTCTGAGGCATTCCACACACATCTCCAAAAGACCACAAAGGTCTGCGAGCACTGCCTGGTGCACTGAACTCAGTCTCAGCTCTGTACTTCAGACCCAAGCATCCAAAACACTGGCCATCCAGCTGCTGTTGGCCACACAGGCCCTGAGGCAGATCTCTGAGCAGCAGCCAGACACTATTGTGGGACGCATCTGAAAACAGCTGTGTCTGTGAGGAGAGCAAAGCAAGGCCTGTGCCAGTGGTACCAGCTTCCAAGCAAACCCACAATAAGTGCTGCTGGGCACCCTTAAGGTGTCACTGTATTAAAAACCTCCCTGCACTGGGTCCAGCCACATTCCCAGCTAGCGTGGCAGGCAGGTAACAGTTAAGTTACAAAGGAGACAGCAAAATCTGAGCCTCGGGGCTGACTTTGTGGCAGTGGGGTTTATGTAACTGGTAAAAACGCAAGCCAGCAGATGCACCTACCTAACACTAGCAGCTCTCTGCGGAGTCAGAAGAAAAAACATCTGAGAACGTTAGATGGAGCAGAGCTGCAAGCTAAACAAGTCTCAAACACAAGAGCAATGTCATCAGTCTTCAAAAAGGAAACACAGAAAGATGTAAAAGGTCCACTGTACCATTGCTTGTGGAAACAAATTCAATTTCTGATTTCCAATACAACTGTTTACAGTTACAGTTACCCCACTGCCTTACAGATGGCAGCATGCCAATACCTTGTTTTTCCCAGGATTGGTTTAACTCCATTATCAACCAATCAAAATGTAAGGCTGCTCAGCAATAGGAAATGAGTAAAAGGAAAATTAAGTGCCCTGTTCACAATGTGCCCCTTGTCCTGGCAATAAATAGCAGGCTAGACAGCAACGGGGCAATGCTGCGCTATCGTATCTGGGCACAAAACCACAAAAGCTATCACAAAAACCAGCAGGCATAACAAAGAACCATACATTAGACACTAGTCCCTGATGTGCACTGGAAAAAAGGATTTCCATTTTCTCTAGAATTCATGCTTCATTTTTCTTTATCTTTTTTCCAGTGCTCTTTCTTCTCCATTTTTTTCCTACGTCTGCAGAGGGAAGGGGAATAAGGGTAAAGGAGAGGGAAGTGTGTGCAACCTGCCTCAAAACTGAATCATTTATTATTGCCTACACTTTTGGCAGAAAAGTTTCCAGCTGGTTTTGTGATTTATTTCAAGTTTGCCCTTGAATTTTACTTAAAGACCTGAGGCATGTTCCAAAAATAATTATATTACAGTCACTTAGTGGTTCAACTACTTACATCTTGAACTACTTCCTATCTGTTCTTTAAAGTTAAACAGAAGAAAAAAAGTGGGCTCAATGATAAGTCTTTCTGAAAATCAATCACGTACCGTGCTCTAAACGACGAATCTGAGACCATTTGCAATACATGATCATGTTATACTCCAAGAACTAAAGTTACCTGTTATGAAATTCCATGTGCTCACCTTCATGAGCAGGATGCAATTTATTTCTTAGCATGTATCTTCCATACAACTATTCACAGAATCACAGAATTGCCAGGGATGGAAGGGACCTCAAGGATCATGAATCTCCAGCCCCCCTGCCACATGCAGGCCACCAATCTTCCCACCTAATGCTAGACCAGGCTGCCCAGGGCCCCATCCAACCTGGCCCTGAACATCTCCAGGGACAGGGCATCCACAACCTCTCTGGGCAGCCTGTTCCAGTACTTCACCACTCTCTCTGTAAAGAATTTCCCCCT